CACATGCACATCATGCATATTGACTCTCCATTCGGCTCTTTGCTTAAAAAATGCATGCCATGCATGTCACTGCTTCAGCTTCAATCAAATGTTTTAAACTATAAAGTCGGTCATGTCGACTGGGTCACATAGCCCTCAAAAGTTTCAATTACAAGTCGGTCACGCTGACTTAACCGCAAGCTCTATACAATTTCCACTTGGCATACACGTTCGATCGGCCCAAACCGATTCATGAGTTTACACCTTCGATCGGCTCAGACCGATTCATGAGTTTATACCTTCGATCGGCTCAGACTGATTCATGAGTTTACACCTTCGATCGGCTTAAACTGATTCATGAGTTTACACCTTCAATCGGCCTAGCCCGATTCATGAGTTCACACCTTCGATCGGCCCAGCCCGATTCATGAGTTCACATCACGAGTTTACACCTTCGATCGGCTCAGAACGATTCATGAGTTTACATCTTCGATCGACCCAGACCGATTCACAAGTTAACACCTTCTATTGGCCTAGTCCGATTCACAAGCATACACTTTCGATCGGCCCATACCGATTTATAGATTTACACATTCAATCGGCCCAAACCGATTGAAGGACTTGCATCTCAAATCGACAAGTCATTAACCTAATCCACACAACGATCCATCCGACTTAACGAGCTGCTATCACTAATCCGCTCAGTATACACTCATTCGATTAAATCTACTCTATAAGCTAAATACTCTTTAACTTAGAGAGTGGAGGGCTAACTATTAGGGCCAAAAATCCTCTTGGGCTTGACGAGGCCCAATAACGAAATAAACATGTCACGGCCCAAGGCTTCAACCCAATCCTGATTGGGCCTACGCTTAAAATCACCTTGTGAACTACCCACTCTATGAGTTGGGTTATCTTATAAGTTAAGCTAAACTAGGTTTCAACCCATTAGCTTGCAACAGTCTATAAATAGGAAATCAAAATCCCATTCTATTTCCTCTTATACTAAGATTCCAAATCTTACTCAAACTATCAAACTTGATCTGATAAGGTCAAGAAATCATATCTCTTCCCAAAATAGTTCTTAGTGTCCTACTAAGATTCCAAATCTTATTTAAACTATTAAACCTAATCTAATAAGGTTAAGAAATTATATCTCTTTCATAATAGAGATTATCTCCCAAAATAGGACTTAGTGTCCTACTAAGATTCCAAATCTTATTTAAACTATTAAACTTAATCTGATAAGGTCAAGAAATCATATTTCTTTCTTGATAGGGATTATCTCCCAAAAAAGAGGACTCAATGTCCTACTAGGATTCCAACCCTTTGGGTTCACTATAAAAACAGAGGCTTGCCCTCTCATTAAGGATGCAATCTCCTATAGTCAATTTACACTACTCAAAACCATCTATTTGCTCCTAAGTTCTTGCTCCCAAGAACCCGACGCCTCCGCTGTAGTCCTAGCCTCCAATGTAGTCTTAGCCTCTGACAAAACTCTTGGTAATTCTTCATCTCCTTAATTCTTATAAAATAATCTCTTTCAGCCTTCGCTGACTTGAGCGTCGAAGTGCCTACGGCAAACACTACCTCGGTGTTTTTCAGAAGCTTCACGCTTGCCCTTTCATGTGTGCAGGTCAAGCGGATTGTCAGTAGCCTCAACCTCATATGATCAGACCCTATTTTCATGACGGTAGATTTTTTGCATCTATAATTACCTAATTGTCTTTGTTATATTATGGTAGTTATTTATTTAGAATTTATTATAATATTTATGTATAATGTATCATATGTAATGTGTAATATTATGTATTATTTTGAATATTAATGAGACATTGTAATATATATGGTATAATTTATTTAGAATTCTCCATAACTTCAATGGCAAACTCTCCTTTTGGTATGATAAGTCCAAATACAAAACCACCCACCAATGAATGTGAGCCACACGCGTCCGTGATGAATCCACTAACAGCCACGCCCATGAGAATGATATATATAAGGGTATCGCTTAATTTATTGCTGAATTTGCCTTGTTTGTTTTTGGTATGCTGTAACATCCAAGTAATGAGTGGATGCAATCCAAAGAAGGAGACTGTTATAAAGCAAAATATTGGAACTAATGACAAAGTTATGCTATGAAGATTCTCATCTGAAATAACAATTGCCAGTACAAGATTTATTATAATATATTATATATTATACGTTATACATAATATGCTATTATCCATAATAATAATATCATATATTTACATATTAATACTTGTTACTTAATACAATAATACATAATATTATACCATTAATATATAATATATTTACATTTATGTATAATGTTATAATTATGATATTTTGATTCATTATAATTTTTTTTAATCAATAAAAATTTAGAAAAAATTATAATACAAAACCCCAAACGGGGATTCCCCATTTGGGGGTCAGGCCTAATTCGGGGATTCCCCGTTCGGGCTAGAGCCAGAACCGGGGAATCCCCTTGGGCTTTCGGGTTGGGGCCAAAGAGAGGGGTCCCCGACCCCCCCTAGCTCGTGCCCATCCCTATGTGTTATATCTCAAAATTTTCTCTTTAATACCGAAAATACCCATGTTTAATTAGGTTTAATCAAGGTTTTTATTTGCACCCATTTCCCATCATTTCAAACTTAATTAGGGTTTTTATTATATCATGTTTCCCCAATTTCAAATTTAATTAAAGGTTCTTGTTTACAATACTTTTCCCAATTTCTTAATTAGGTTTTTCTTATTTATACCACTTTTTCCCAATTTCAAATTTATTTTTTTCTTCTTCAGATACCTAATTCATCATGTTGTGTGGTTACTTTCTTCATAACTGTAGTAATATATATTCATCAAACAAAGAATTATTTAAATAAAAAAATGCTTCAATGATTTAGAAAATTTAGATTTAGGGTTTACATAAGAATTAAAGGTTAAAATTAAAAAAATATATATCCAAAATAGAAAATGATTGTATTTAAAAATTATCATATCATCAAGGTTAAACTCATCAAAATAAAAGTATATCTAAAAGTGGGAAATAATCAATTTGATTAGGGGTTAAAAAAACCTCCCATCGGCAATTAAAGATATTGGACTGGCGGAAGCCCAATTGGGCCGATATTTGGGGTAGACGTGTCAAGTCCAAAATTGATAAGAAATTGGTCCAGGCTCAGTCATCCTAGCCCATTGCAATTTTCTGCTTCTTCATACAACCAGTACCTGTAATCCTTTTGATGACCAACACCAACAGGACTGCAACTTGGGAGAAACTGGGACCAAGAAAACGACTGAAGTTAGTATTCATCCTTTTCCATATTCAAGATTTTATTCATGTCTTCAAAAGAAAACAATAAAAAGTAATTAATAGGAAAGATGGCAGCCTTGACTCAGTATCAAACGACATAATCCAGTGATATTTTAAAAGCGCACTATGAGCCAATACCAGATGGCAGAACTGGGACCAAGAAAACGACTTTATACTTATTGCAAATCCGCAAAAGCCACTATCAGCGAAAGAAACCAGGAATTCAAATACTCTTTCGTTCCGTTGTTTTCCCAAATGTTATCTCCAGAATAATTACTATGGATAAAGTTTATTTCAGTGGAGACCCACATTGTTGTGAAGTCAATGATATACCTATAACTTTTTTAATATATTTACCCTTTACGTACACCTCAATTATAGGAGTAATTACAGGAACTCTATTATTCTTCAATGGAAGAATTATTATGGCTGAATACCTTGCTTTACAGACATGGCTAACCAGAATTATGAGCTCTGTATGCACTTCTACTTCAAAGATTAACTAATTTAGATAACTGTAGAGTTAATAATTTGCTCCGTGATAAGTGCTAGCGACTATAGATGTGAGTTTTGTCAACAGAAGCTGACAAGTTAATTAATGGGTGGATCAAATCAATTCTTTTCAACTTTCTGATGGGAGACGCTCCCTCTAGAATGAAACTCACATGTAGTCTTTGTCAATAGCTTCATGGTCTCTGTTGAAAATCAATTATTGTTTGAAATACCACCCTTCAAACAAGTTCTGAGAGCCTTCAAAATGAGAAAAAGGCCTTATTTGCAGTCTACTAACATAACTATAGCATTGATTAACTGCTACTCAATGTTGATGCTTGGCAAAAATGGAGAAAAAATGGCATATTCATAAACCAATGGCTTGTAAGAATCCATTTGCCATTTGGGTGAAGCGTGTAATTAAAAAACTCCTGGCAGTTTATCTTCAATTTTTGCAAGTGGAATTGACCTTTCTTATAACTATGTATGTCAATTATATCGTAATTTTTACTACATAATGTTGGATCAGGGAAAAAGTGTGGGCATGTGATTTATAAGGGTTTGGACACCCTTGGCAAGCCGTTTTTTCAAAAAAAGATCTACCCAAGTCCACAAAAGGATCATTGCCCAGCCTAAGCCCGAGCCTATGTTTTGGAAAGGGCAACCTCTGAGAGTAGGCAACTTAGAGTGAAGCTGTCCAAAGTGGGTCAACGGTGTTTGGAAAGGGGCGACTTGAGAGAGTAGCCCCCCTGAGTAAAGTCATCCAAAGTGAGCCAACATGGATGTTAGATCTCGAAGCGTGAAAAAATGCTAGGATCCTGTATTAAAAGGGAAAAGGTGTGGGCATGCTTTATAAGGGTTTGGATATCCTTCCCTAGCAGGCATGCCTTATAAGAGTTTGGACATCCTTTACCCTAACAGATCAATTTTTTAAAGAGAGTTTTATCCAAAATCACAAATAGATCACAGTCAAACCTAATAAGGCCCACAAAAAGACCTCTGCCTCCTAACCAATTCCTAATCTAGCTTTTTCTTTTGCGCACAGTTAAAAACGACAAACTTGTCAAACTAGTTTGAAATTTTGAATATAATAGTACTTTTGGCTGTTCCCAGTCAAAAGTTTGGGAGTAACTCTCTAGACTTTTTACAACCACCCAAGTCCCTCTCTATATATACTGAAACAAAGAAAAAATCTTTTGAACTCATTATTTACAAGCAAAATTAATCCACCTCACTTTTTGTCAATGGAAGAATTATGGACAAGTCTCAGAAGAACTCAGGTAAATATTCTTCTACTTTAGTCTTTGCCTTATCTCTGGCTTCTTAACATAGCTTTGGTTTATAATAATTCTGTCTGGTTCTTTGCATTTCTTCCGTTGGTTGATTCATGTCTCACTAGCTCTTTTAAAGAAACAAAAATCTTATGTAATTAAGTCCACACAATCTCTTTTCCAGGTACTTAAAATCATCGGATTACTTGTTGTACTTGTTTTGTTGAACACAAATGGAGTTGAGAGTAGAAAAAAGGCCCATGATTTGGTGTCCTTTCAGTATCCGGCTATAAATTGCAGAGCTCACAGCGCTTCGTTAGAAGATTTTGGCGGAGTTGGTGATGGAACTACATCAAACACAAAGGCTTTTAAGGCTGCAATAGACCATTTGAGCCAGTTCTCAACAGTTGGCGGGTCCCAACTCTATATTCCTCCCGGGAAGTGGTTGACCGGTAGCTTCAATCTCACCAGCCATTTTACTTTGTATCTTCACAAGGATGCTGTTCTTCTTGCTTCTCAGGTTGGTAAATAACATTTCAAAGTCTCAGCCCTTAAGAAAATAGCTCACTTAACTAGATATTTATTATTTAATATTGAACCCGCATTTTGTGGGGGAGATTGGATGGATCACACCACATACCATATTTTTCAAGGCAAAATGCATTAACTAAATCTAACAGAAATAGGAATGCACTCTTTTAAGCCGTTAATGCGAAACGGCTTAATTAGTAATTACTATCTCATAACCTTCAGTTATTCTAGCAAGCTTTCCTAGTCTTTTCTTAACGTTTCTGCATTCAATTGTGGCGGTGAAGATGCTTTTGCAGGGATTTTTCTGCATTCAATATGATGTATTTTTAATTTAATTTTGGTCTATTTGATCTAGCAGAAAAACTCTCAAGCACACTTTAAAGTGGACTGTACTTTCATCATTATAGTTGATTCTGAGACGTATATTCAGCATTCTTAGGGTATATGATAATGATGAAATGATCTGCTTGACATTTTTATTCAATTCTGTTCATGATTTCTGATAAATTAGGATGAGAGGGAATGGCCCATTATTAAACCTTTACCATCATATGGTCGAGGAAGGGATAATGCTGTAGGTGGAAGGTATATCAGCCTAATTTTTGGAACCAACCTTACTGATGTTGTCATAACAGGTACAGATCACAGCATTAATCACAATTGAATTTCCAAAATTATTTGGGATTGTTGAGGAGTAGATGGAGTTTTATTTTGTTTCAGGGGACAATGGAACTATTAACGGTCAGGGTGAACCCTGGTGGAAAAAATTCCTTGCAAAAAAGCTAAAGTATACCCGGCCTTACCTTATTGAAATCTTGTACTCTGAGAATGTTCAGATATCCAGTCTCACATTTATCAATGCTCCATACTGGAATATTCATCCTACTTATTGCAGGTTTCTCTTTTGCTTGCTTATTATTGTTTCTAAGATGTGTTGAAAAAACAAGAGAAATAAAGAATGTGAGACACATATTGATCATATTTTTGCAGCAATGTCATTATTCAAGGCCTAACAATCCTAGCACCAGTGACAATTAAAAACACTGATGGCATCGATCCAGGTGAGAATCAAGAAAATACCACAACCACTTTAAAAGAGTTGTAGTAACACTTGTTAAAACATTTGATTTTGGTTTCAGATTCTTGCACAAATACCCGAATTGAGGATTGTTACATTGTCTCCGGAGATGATTGTGTAGCAGTTAAAAGTGGTTGGGATGAGTATGGAGTTTCATTTGGGATGCCAACAAAGCAGCTTGCTATCCGGCGACTAACATGCATTTCTCCATTCAGTGCGGTGATTGCTCTGGGTAGTGAGATGTCTGGTGGGATTGAAGATGTCAGGGCAGAAGACATCACAGCCATTCATTCTGAATCTGGGGTTAGAATCAAAACTTCTGTAGGAAGAGGAGGCTTTGTGAAGACATATACGTCCGAAGGATGACTCTGAAAACCATGAATGGGTATTTTGGATGACAGGCAATTACGGTGATCATCCTGATAATAAATATGATCCTAAAGCACTTCCTGTGATTCAAAATATCAATTATCGTGATATCGTTGCTGAAATGTAACAATGGCTGCTAAATTGGAGGGAATTCCGCGTGATACCTTTTCTGAAATTTGTATATCTAATGCGACCATTGACTAACAGCAAAGCCAAAGGAACTACAATGGACTGTACACATGTTAAAGGGATTTCAAGTGGCGTGACTCCTAAACCATGTGAGTGTTGCCGGATCAAGGACCAGCGAAGATCAAACAATGTAATTTCCTGTAGACAGTTTGCCTATTGATAACGTTAAACTACGCACTTTTACTACAAGAAGTAGTTTTGATCTGTCAATGTAGGGAAACTCCATTATTTGCTCAGAACGTTAACTACGATGTAAAACTTTTGGAATCTGTAATGTTAAGTGTGAACATTCCACGATCAAATTAAGAATTGATGGAGGCTCAGTCATCCATTAGCAAAAGAGAAAGGGTAGTGTTTTTTTTTAGTATACCAATTACAATTAGGCTCTATTATATCTTAAAAATTATCTTTAAACCTTATTTAATACCAAAAATATCCTTGCTTACAGGTTTAATTAGGGTTTTTATTTGCACCCATTTCCCACATGCAAACTTAATTAGGGTTTTGATTATAGTACCATTTTTTTCCCTAATTTTAGACTAATTAAGTTCTTGTTTACAAACTTTTTCCCAATTTCTTAATTAGGTTTTTTTATTTATACCCCTTTTTCCCAATTCAAATTTCAAATTTTTTTTTCTTTTTTAGATACATATTCATCCCGTTGTATTTACTTTTTTCATAGTTTTAATATATATCTCATCAAAAAAAGAATTAATTGAAAATAAAATAAATTTGTTTCAATGATTATGAAAATTTAGATATACGGTTTATATAAGAATTAAAGATTTAAAAAAAAAAAAAATAGAGAATAAGTGTATTTATAACTTACCATGTCGTTAAATTTATTGAACAAAAATATAAAAGTGGACAAAATATTTTAAAAGTGGGAAATATCAATCTAGAGGGGTAAAAACATACTATACTTACTCACCATCTTACTAACCATCTTACTATCCTTTGTAAATATAACGCATAGTACTGGTACTATATGCATAGTACGGGTACCATGTAAAATTTTAACAAAGGTTGTATGACAGTTAGTACAAGTGGTGAGTAAGCATAGTATTTTTCGGGGTAAAAACCAATGTTTTTGTCCAATTCTATTTCTATCATTTCTAAAATACACATTTATTTCCTATTATGAAAATACTATTATACTTTATTCAATAATTGTTAAACCCTTTAAGTTTGTTAGTTCAACTAAACATAAAAAAAAAAAAAAAAAGTAAGTTTAGAAAATAACAAAAGCACCCTCACCCACCCACATTTATCAGATTCTGACCACCACAGCCAGAAGGTGGTCGAAATCTGGTATAATGACGTACTATCAACTAGATCTAACCAGTAGTATGCTGATATAACATTTTCTAGCCAGATCCACCTTAGATCTGATCAAAAAATGTTAGATCTTTGGCCATAGCTAGTCATCAATGACGATCATATCTTTAACTATCGTTGACGATCAAATATGACCAGATCTGACTATCAATGACTAGATCTAATCATAAGTCTGATATTTTCTAGACAGATCTATAATAGATATGTCTAGATCCAGTCTATTGTACATTGATATGATGGCTCTAGCTATCCTTTAGAGGTGATAGCCAACTACCAGTATTTATTGGATGAATGAAGATATTTTTATAATTTTTAATATTTTTATTATAAAGATGTTTAATAAATTAATAAACTTAAGAGATGATTTTATTAATTTTTAAATCTATCTCATCATTACTTTTTAATTCTTACTTTTTTAAAAATACTATCTAAAATAATAAAATAAACGCACCCTTAAAAACCGACCTGATAGCGGTGGGTCAGACGGGCGACATTATCTTCTCGATCTCATCACCCAACTTTTCCTTTATCTCATTAGCTCATGAATCCCACATCTCTCATATGATCGAAACGTGTCCACCTCCACCTCCATCAACAAACAACTTTTTATTTGTTTTTTTATTAAATGCAATACAGTACACTCTTAATTTTTTTTCAAGGACATTTAATATTTGTTTTTTATTTCAATAAAAGCTCATTAAATGTAATATAAGTTAGAGGTGAAAAAAATAGACCAAGTTAGGCGGGCCAATCCTAACCCAGCCCATAAAAAAGAAGACTCAACCCAGCCCACCTTAATGGCGGGGCAGGTTGAACCCAACCCGCTAATAACCCCCAGGCAGGCTGGGTTGCACAATGGTAACCCGACAGCCCGCGGGTTGCTATTTTGTCCTCTCTGCAAGAGGACCGCAACCCGACGGGTCGCAGGCGGGTTGGCCCAAAACAAATTAAAAAAAATGTAAATTTTTTTATTTTTTTAATTACCCTTTTACCCTTGAAATATAGTTGTTTTATAGCCGTTGGAGGGGTCTTTTTCGCCATTTTCTTTCCCCATTTTTTTCTATAAATTGACCCTAAACTCTCATATTTTTCTCACAACTCAAATTCTCTCATTTTCTCATATTCTCTAATCTCTATTCTCTCAACTCTCAAGTCTCAATTATTCATTTATTCTCTTAATATTTTTGTTATCAATTTGCTCTTATTTTAATTTTTATTAGTTTTTGCAATTTTCAATTCATATTTCCAATTTTCCAAATTCCAAATTTCCAATTTCCATATTCCAAATCTCTTTCTTTAATTTTTTTTTTTCAACTACAAGTCTACAATGGATAGATATTTCTCTTCCATCAATTTCAATGATGAAGAAAACTATTATCCTAGTCCTAGTCCCGCTGATTTTACTATGAATGCAGGAGATTCAAATAGTCCCGCTGTCCCAATCCCAGTCTCAGAATCCGATACACCTCAAAATATGCCGTCGATTCCAACAGCTCCCGGTGGTTCTAGAAGTCGTCCTCGTAATCGTCGTCCTCGTCCAACTTCATCTCAAGCTGAGGCGGGATCATCAACTGCCGTCGAAAGCGAAAACAGACACACATCAGACGTTTGGGCGCATTTCGACAAGTTTTACGAGACAGAAAATGGCGTTCAAGTCAAGAAAGCAAGATGCAAATATTGTGCAAATGTTTATAAAGCTGATTCAGGTAATGGTACTAGTACTTTAAAAAGGCATGCTAATAAACATATTAATCAACATGGAAATAGAGAAAGCAATCAAACTCAAATAACTAATATGGGTACTACTTGGCGTTATAATTCTGATGTATATAGGGAACAGTTAGCTTTATATATTGCTGCATCTGATCAACCTATTAATATGGCAGAAGATAAATATTTTGAAAGATTTGTTCAAAATTCATTTTTTCCAGGATTTAAAAGTTATTCTAAAACTGCAACTAGAAATGATTTAATAAAATTGTTTAAAAAAATGAAATTAGAATTAAAAAATAAATTTCATACTTGTCATATTAGTGTGGCTTTAACTGCTGATATTTGGAGTGGTAGAGCTAAACAAGATTATATTTGTGTGACTAGTCATTATTTTGATAATGAATTTAAATTAAATAAATCTTTATTAGGATTTAGATTAATGGATGTGGATCATAGTGGTTTAGAAATCTATAATAAAATTATTGAAGTTTTAGAAGATTATGATATTATTGATAAAGTGATAAGTTTAACTTTAGATAATGCAAGTTCTAATAGTAAAGCTATAGAATTTTTTCAAAATAATTATCTTTTATATAATAATTTGAAGTTTTTTCACCAACGTTGTGCATGTCATGTTATTAATTTAATTGTGAAAAGTGGTATGAAAACAATTAAAAAAAATATTGATAGAATTAGGGAATCTTTAGCTTGGATTACTAGTAGTAATAAAAGAAATGCTGAATTTCAAGAAGCTTGTATAAAATCAAATATGTCTCCTAGAACTTTTGCATTAGATATGCCTGTTAGATGGAATAGTACTTATTTAATGCTTGATTCATGTTTACCTTATGCTAATATAATTAGTTATTTTGTAGCAAATAATAGAGGTCCTCATCATTTGGTAGAAAATGATTGGAAGATAGCTAAAGTATTTCATTCTTTTCTCAAATGTTTTTACCAAGCCACTTTACAACTTTCTGGTGTGTATTATCCTACTAGTCCATTGGTAATACATGCAATTATAAAAATTTCCGAGTTATTTACAAAAAACAAAGATGATGAAATTTTACATGCACCAATAAAGGCAATGGAAAATTTTTTTTTGAAATATTGGAGACCCGTTCCTTTTCTTTATTGTTTAGGTGCTATATTTGATCCTAGAATTAAATTAGCACGTTTAGAAAATGGTCTTGACAATTTAAGTGAAAATTTACAAAACGAATCATATATCAATCAAATAGGAGAGGTAAAAAATAGTCTTTTCGAAGTATATTTCCAATATGAAAACAGGTATGGGAACCCGCAGTCGCAAAGAGGCGAAATATCCAGAGAAGCTGTAGCAGAAGAAACAAATGAAGACTTATTCTCTTGGAATGCACTGAATAGGCCGAAGAGGACCCGAGTCCGAAGCACAGCCTCCTCTTCAGACGCACCACCACCAACAACAACAACAACTAATATGCTGTCCTCCATGGAGTCGCAGAGTAATGAACTTCAACAATATTTGGCAACCCCCGAAATGTTTTCAACAGGTCACTTTGATCTCTTAGAGTATTGGAGAGCCAGAAAATGTATTTTTCCGGTATTATCAAGACTTGCCTTGGATGTTTTCGCTGTTCCTGTCTCAACCGTCTCATCCGAACAAACATTTAGTGCAAGTGGAAGGATTTTAAATGAAAGGAGGACTAAACTTGCTCCAAAAATGATTGAAGTCCTCACATGTCTTCGAGATTGGGAACGATCGCGCCATCAAGATCAATACGAGGTTATCGACAATACTTTAGTAGAATCATTTCAATTTTGTAATATAGATGATACAGATGAGGGAGGTCCTAGTGAACCACCCCCAAATTAGTTGTTTTGTAAAATGTAAT